TGGTGTTGCAGCGAACGAAAAAGATGGTAATCTGACGGTGCCATATCTGGAGAACATGATGGTTGACGGAGAACTTCCCAACCCAACTCCATATTCTTGTGTTGCGTCAAACGTGCGGCATGTGGACGTGCATTGTCGTGGAGAAGAAGAACACTTTTCCGATTGACGATTGAAGGGCGTTTCTGATGAAGGGCTTGATTTAAACGTTCCAGTTGCTGACAATAGATCTCTGCATTGACAGTTTGTTGTGGATTGAGGAGTTCGAAATGAATTACTCGTTTGATATCCCACCAAATAAAAAACATCACTTACTGTGGATGGAGTCCAGGTTTGGGGGCTGGAAGCGGTTTTTGTCTAGGACTGAGTCATTGTTTTTGGCGTTTAATATTCGCATAGAAAATCCATTTTTCATCACCGGTGACAATTCTGTTCAAAAATGGTTCACGTGCCAGAAGAGACGAAGCAACGTCACACATTGGAAATGATAATCGTCGGAAAGTTTGTGAGACACTCAAACATCTTCTTTATGGAGTTTTCACATATTTCTTAGATGTTTACGTATTGTTTCATCAGAGACATGCAATTTCAGGGCCATTTTGCGAGTGTGTTGCCTTGGGTTAGACTCAATAAGCGTCTTCAGAACATCAGTATCAATTCCAACATGTCGGTCCCTGCCATCACAGTTTTTATGGCTAAAGTCACCTGAACGAAATTTGCTGAACCATCGTTGACACTTACGACACTTACGAACGTTCAAAACATTTCCATAAATTTCTTTGATATTCTTTGTGGCTACAGAGGCATTGTTTCCCTTCTTGTGTTCAAACAGCATTATAAGGGATTAGAGTATACTAAACTTTACACATTATATTGGCTACACTAACGTGACGTTTAGGAGGTTCGTTTAACTATTATACGTGATGTATGATTTTTGGGGGTTGGTTAATGCAAGTGCTCCAAAACGCGACATTAATTTCTTGACCTAATACATCAATTAGAAAACAGAAAACTGGGTAATTTCAGAAAATAATTTGCCAGTGGAAAGTCAAAGTGCTAAAGTGTCCAAGGTTCCTGTTGAGACCACTTCCAAAAGATCACCAATGCTAGATTCGCTAGTGGATTTGTTTGATCACCTACCTAGGTAGAACTCCCCCAAATGACAAGACAACAAGTGATTATAAGAGACAAGAGACCACCCCATCTGTATAACATAACCCTTGGAAAAGAAAAATCACAGAAAAGAATTGGTGAATAGATGGTTTAGTATAATTTTTTATCTGTTTATTGGGATTGCTCAAAGGACTTCACAATCCAGGAAAAAGGCAGTGTTGTAAGCTATATTTGAAGTATATATTAATATAGAATTTGTTTGCTAGAGGGAGCGTGTCATTACTTAATGACGATGCAATATATAAAAATGTCATGAAAGTTACAGCTTCTGTAGAATCTAGAAGCCTGTGTAGTATGTAGAAATAAGAGTGCAATATAAATACCAGACTGAGTGAATTATTTAGTTCAGTGTCACTTAGCGAGTTAGACAGTGAGCGTTATTGCTTCCATTTGTTTGCGTTTAAGTTAGTGATTGGGTTAATCGGCGTGTTTTTATCGATCGATTAGCGAAGAAATTGTGCAAGTAAGTTGAAAAAGAGTTACAGCTACTTTTGTTTTAGAGTATTTGTTGAAAAGTTTGTTTGTGAATTTAGGTTTACAATTGAATGTACTCTGTAGAAAACGTTTTTGAAGAAATATATTAATTCGCTATTTTTACCTGAATTGCCCTTGGCATTATTATTTTTTCTTCAAGTAATCTAAAAGAACCTGACCAACGAAAGAACAAGTTAAAACAATATATAATGGATAAATAAATTTATTGAGAAATTGAAAATAATATTTTTGAATGAGATGTTCGGCAACCCCATTCGTTAACTGTCTTATACTTTTGGTCACATCTTACCTGTCTTCACAAAGTGGCCCGGCATGGCCAGGTGGTTAGGGCGCTTGACTCACAATCTAAGGGTCACGGGTTCGAATCCCTGTCCCACTAAACATGCTTGTCCTTTCAGCCGTGGGGCGTTATGATGTGACGGTGAATCCCACTATTCGTTGGTAAAAAGAGTAGCCCAAAAGTTGGTGGTGGGTGGTGATGACTTCCCTTTGGTCTTACACTGTTAAATTAGGGACGGCTAGCGCAGATAGCCCTCGTGTAGCTTTTCTTCAAAATTCAAAACAAACAAAGCGTTTTATTGGTTAGACCCACGATTTTTACCCGTAAGTTAAAAAAGAAAATAACTTTTAAATCAACCAATTTTCAATTTACTAACATAATTTCCGGACATATATTTTTATTTTGTATCTTAACTTTATATTCATAACAAAACTACACGGCTGCTGAGTACCATCGTGGGTCCCGAGGAAGAATGTACTGTACCCTCCTCACAAATGATACCATGTACACGCAGAAGTGACTAAAGGCGTGGTGAATGTTTGCTTAAACATTCTGTGCTGATTTGGTAGAAATGATTAAATATCCCCAGTTTCCCCAACCTTTTGTTGGGCATGTAAAGATACTAATGCTTTTTGCCACTGTCCCTTAATTTTGAACTACTGGCCTGCGAGAATGCAACCAGTCAGCAGCACCCACCATCCACGCAAGAATTTCCTGGTATAGTGTACTTCAAGTCTTTATACCTTAGCAATCCACACTTTTGTTCGTTTGTTTGTAATTAAGCACAAAGCTACACAATGGACTATCTGTGCTCTGCCCACCACGGCTATCGAAACCCGGATTCTAGCGTAATAAGTCAGCAAACATACCCCGCTGTGCCACACTAAATCATTAAGAAGGTAATACATATTACCACTCGCTCAGATATCACAATTTAAACAGCTTTTTCTTAACAGTATATTTGAAAAGGTGCCCCAGGGATTTAAACACAAAACTGAATAGCAAGTGTGAGACAGTACTATGTAGTCATATTCAGTAATTCAATCTGTGCCCTTTGGAATGTTTAGATCATCATAAATTCGGCGTTAATTATTTTCCTCTAAGTTCATTAGTAAGTAATCTTAATTATTCAGTGGAGATATAATTGATTTTATTTAATGTATTTTTTCATTTATGTGTTAAAACAAAACATTCGAGTTAGCAATATTTATCTTATATCTGTTTCTATAGTCATCGGAAAATCTTCTAACTTCTGATAATGATGCTAGTCTGATATTTTCTCGAGACAATGGACCAGGTAAGTTGATTTCTGAACTTATTATAAATTTCAGTATATTGTAACAATAGGATTTCAGTGTCTTTATTTTAAATGTTTTTTTATAGCAATAACGACTAACCTACGAAGTTCCGTATACGTGCTTTCTATAAAACAAAATCTTAATATACAATCATGGACGTTCTAGAGTTAATTATGTTAATTAATTTGAATACAGAACTTACCCTTAAATATTACACCTCTTCGTGAATGTTTACTGTTAATTTATGTTAATGAATCGCTTAAAAGAAAATTGAAAAGAAGTAATATTACTTCCAGAAGTAACCATTGCTAATGAGAAGGATTTTTTTCGTATTTTAAATATTCTACACAGAATAGAATATATTACATTTAAAATATTTTCTACTACGTTTTGGTTATGCATCAAAGTTTCTCTGACTCAGTAATGACTTACTGAGGAAATATTTTCGGTGTTTTTAAAACTCGAAAACAACCAACTTAGTCTTAATATAAGCCTAATGATAATACTATTTATTAAAGAAAGCTTTAAATTTAACGATGTCCAAACAAGCCAAATGTATACATTTAATAAAACGATATTTTCAAGGATGTGTAATTGCGCGACAACACCGTTATTTATATATGAATTAATCTTCTTTTCTAATGTATGTACTCACATATTATTTGAAATATTATCTAACAACGTTAGAAAAAAGAAGTCCGAAGGGTAAATATATGTTATCTATATTTATGTTTTATAAAATAAAACCTTTTGAATGATTTCAGGTGATATAGATAATTATTATGTGTATGTTAATAACAATTTTATAATTTTTATTTGCTTATTTACCGTTCTGGATTATGCCTTGTAATTTACTATTTTAACACATACATTCCTCCTTCTCCATAAAAGTTGTTTATATATGTTGTTAGCCGCGGCATATTGGCTCATAGAGTTGTTTGTTTGTTGTTGTTTTTTCAAGTACAAACTTTTAGCTCATAGTTCCGTCATCTTTTGACCGATTTGAGATCTAATTACAGTTTTGAGCTCAGGAGGTCAAACCCTTTCGATTTTTGTATATTACCACGCCCAGGGTCTCATAGATTGATTTACTCTAATTCTGCCTAAAAGAATTTAATTTGAGGGTAGGCTGTTAGAGATGCTGATGGGTAATAAAATCGAATGAGGTATATGCGCGACCCACACTTGGTATAGTTGGCTCACAAAAATATAGTTAATAAAAAGGGAAAAAAGGTCTCAAAGGTTAATTTACTCTAATCCCGCCTAAAAGAATTTCAAGTGCCGCTGCTATTGAGGATTCCCTATTTTTGTTTCTCATGTAAATGTATTTGATAGATATTGATGGTATTAATAAGATTACAGGATATTAGACTAACTTTAATAATTTATAGCAGTTGTTTAAAGATCACTGGGAGAAGTACATATATTTTTGATAAACGGATATTTCAAATATATTTGATGTCGTTTCGGACAGCTGACTTACTCTTGAAAATGACGCACTTATAGTGGCGCTTATTACTAGTTAAGTTTTGACCATGAAGAATTTATTTTGCACCATGTGACACATGGAAGTTGTGTGTTAAGTTTGATGGTAAAACATTTATATGTTCTTATGCAAAAACAGCTCGAAGCAGACCAATAATCATCAATCCTCCAATCTCGTTGTAGGGTGTCTCCCAGTGGCTCAGCGGTAAGTCTGAAGACTTATAACGCTAAAAGCCGGGTTTTGATACCCAAGGTGGACACAGCAAAAATAACCCATTGTAGAGCTTTGTGTTTAACAAAAAACAAATAAGCAAAAATAAGCCGGTTTGAACAATGATGGCTTAATGAAACGACACAACATACACTTAACATGTTTAAAGCACGTTTACTTTTGTGTGTAAATAAGAAAATGGATATTTCTTGCTATTTACAGCATCCCCAGTCCTTTCACCCGAGGATATCGACCTCAAACTTCTGGCCATTGAAGATGGTGTCTCTCACGCCTTTCAAAGAGCAAAGTTATGGTCGAAATACGCTAAGGATGTCATTTCGTATGTGGAAAAGAAGATTAATCTACGTCAGTATTTGTGTATATCCTCGTAGGATTTAATTTATGATATAGCTACACAGTGTTAATTTGTTTATTTTTATGTGTTTTGTTTTCGAGATATGAATTTTTTTTATCATGACCTTATTACATTCAAAACCTTTAAACACACAGTTCGGACTTACATTAGGAAAGTGATCGTCATAACTCAATAACATTATATTTTGTTTTGTTTTTCAGTGACCAATTATGCTGAGACTGAATAAAATAATGGAAGCATAAATTGATTAATGATATTTTAATAGAATTATATATTTGCTAGAATCAATTAAAATTCGTTCTCTTCTTTCAAATGTTCATTTTTCGTTTTAACCGTAATCTTAAATTTCAGTAATTATTTGTAATTAATCAATGGTTTTTACTGGGATAGATTTTTATAATTTCATTTGTGAAATACTTTTCTCCTCACCAAAACGTGAATTTGTTATTGTTGTTTATTGTAGAAATGGAATACGCACGCAACTTGTCGAAATTAGCGCAGTCGATGAAGCCTGTGCTGAAAGAAGAGGTAATGTTTTTTACACTATTAAATTCTGTGAATGATTATATGTCGAATATAGCTATATTGCTCATAAAATACCCTGCTTAGTAAGTTGCACTGACGTTGTATGATTAGTGCCATCTAGTGAGCTAACTATCATTTCAAAGTTATTTCAGTTCGCCCGTTTGTTTTGATTAGTCTTATATAGCAGAATATAAGGATAACAAAGAACTGTATGGTCGTGCAAGGCTGTCCCTGCAGAAAAGTAAAAACTCAAACCCACACTTTATTTTCAGAAAATTAGCAATTCCCCTTTAAACTCTTGTAAAGTGTCAGCCTCCACAATCATCCAAGGCAACATATTCCAGAAGCTGATTACCCTGCCAGAAAAATACAACTGTTTTAACTGGAGCCCAGTGTGTATTTTCCAAATGTTAAACTTGTCCCTCATGTCCTGTTTCATTCAGAATACAGCACAAAGAAATCGGGAGCCTTTATCCAGTCAGTCCCTTTGATAATCTTGTAACTTCAACAAGATCACCTCTTATAATTCTTTTCTCAAGAGAAAGTTTACAGATCTTAACCTGTCCCCACAAGTTTTTTCCTGATACATTTAACATTATAATAATAGCAAGTTAGCTTATCTTTAACTCTACTAGACTTATCTTTCAAACTATTATGTAACTTGTAATATTCTTAATTCTTTTTCCAGTCTCCTCATTACCTATTTTATTAATTTGTTGAAAAGGTTACTACTTATGTTGATGAGGTAAAAGTGTGGATTTAGTATATTTGAATGTTCAGAAAGTATTTGACGAAATAAAAGGCTTGTTAAAAATAATTTACTTGGTGGGTGTTGGGTATAAGTTGGCTTGTTGAATGAAAAATGGCTGGAGGGAAGAAAGCAGAGGGGTTGTTATAAATTGTGTTCAGTCAAATTGGAGTAATATCACAAGTGGGATACATCAGGGCTCAATGTTGTTCTTTCTTGTATTTGATTTATATTAATGACATAGATAAAGGAATGGTTAATAAATTACTGAAATTGGCTAATGATATTAAGGTTCGAATTTGATGTACCTGATGATGACAAAACCTTGTTGAAACATTGTACATTTGCTGTTATGTTAAACTTATATTAAAGTTTTTCTTCATTACCCATTCAAGCCGTCTCCAACCATTATTAGATATTAAGGTCTTGGGTGTTATGGCTGTTAGTTGGATGCTGCTGTTGCTTTACAAAGGGATTTAGGTTATTTGGTGAGTTGAGTGATTAACTGACAAATGGCATTTAATTATAATAAGTGCAACATAAGTTTGGTGGGAATAACCATTATGAAAGAAAGAAGCTTGATGTTTCGGTTGATCAGTCTCTGTAGCCAACCAAGCAGTATGTTCTGTTGCTAGCAGTAGGGCAAATAATATTTTTGGGTAGCATTTGCAGAAGTATCGAAGATAAATCTAAAGAGGTTATCCTTTCATTGTATAAGTCACTGGTTAGGCCACACATCAAATACTGTATTCACTCTTATGCTGCTTACCTTAAGAAAGACATTTAATTGTTGGAAAGGGATCAAAGGAGAGCCACTAGGATGGAAAGGTTCTCATACAAGAACAGGCTAAGATCTCTAAAATCGTTTTCACTTGAAAAAAATTAAAATCAGAGAGCATCTGATTGAGGTGTTCAAGATTATAAATGAGATAGATAGTATTGATTTATCATCTTTTTTTTAGTATTTCATGGTGAGAATGGTAGTGCAATGTGACCCAAACATAAATTTTGACAGGGCAGAAATCATCATCAGCTTACATCTAAAAAATACTGAAGGTGATCCTCCCCCAGTTGTTATATATGTGAATTTAAAGGGCCGTTCAACTAATATTTAAATAAACATGGCTGGATTTGAATTTTTTTTCTGTAAGTGGATGGGACAACCTAGATGGACCAAGAGGTCCCTTGTTCTACCTTAAATATTGTGTTATTCCCAGGCCATTTTAACTACAATGTAAGTTTAATTTAAATTGTCTTTAAGGACAAGTTTCTTTACAGCTTGCTCAAACGTTTTGCTACCTAGCCTGCTTAAGTGGATCAAGCCCATTTCTTAGCATATAAGTTGCTTTTACCCTGAAAATTGTCCCACAGGTCCAACTACTACTCCTTTTGTTCTAAGTATATCCCTGCTAATCTTTTAAGCCTTGGGCCCTACTAAGTAATTCATTCCTGCATCTACCTTGTGGAAGCACTCCCAAAAGGGAAACATGTTTATTTCTATTACTAAGCCTCTGAAGGAATTCTTTATTAAGCAGCTTTTCTGATTTATAACTTCCAACATCATTTGTTACAACATGCACTACAAAAAGAGAATGCTTTTAAACTCTCAATGTTTTCTACTGGCAAACAAATTAATTACTTATTTTAAGTAATAACTGTATATGCAAAAAAATTATGTTGATTCTTGTGTATGTCAAAAGGCCATTTTGATAACATCTTGAAATTATACTGATTTAGATATTGCTAAATGTAATTTCTTGTTGATACAACTTAGTGTTTCATCCTTTTAATGGGCTGGTCTTATGAATACCTCAGCTGAGTAATGTTTTTATTTTTATTTTCAGTGCTTTCTGCCTTTCCAATCTATTTACTGTACTGCTCTAGACCAAGACTTAGAAAATGCTAGCTCTATATATGATAATTGTGAACTCCTACGCAACCATAAATTTATAGAGGTAAGTGTAAATAATTAGTAATAGTTAACTGCCATTTTCAACGATTGAATTGGATTGTGTAATTAGGTTTTCAGCTCTCCTCCACTTCATCATTTAATTTCAAAAAATCTAAATTATAGTTAATGTTTTTCAGATTTTTAGAACCTGGTAATAATACTATTAGTATTACTATCAACATACCACATATATTTAAGAGAACATAATAATTTGATAATTAAATATGTTAGATTATCTTTAACTTTCAGTTCAAACAGAAAATAATAACACATTAAATTAAATACCTGTTATGGCCTTCAAATGCCTAAATAACACACTATTTGTTTAAAGCAATTTGGTAAATGCTCTTCTAGTAACGTTACAGTTAAGCCTTGTTTTCAACCTACTTGTGTTGTTTGTGATGTGTTCTTAACAAATGTAAATATTTATATCTTATATTTATAGCCACTGTCAGCAAGAAGATATGAATATGAAAAGGCTCGAAAGCAAATAAAAGAAAAATGGCATCGAGAACTAAAAAAAATGGTATGTAATCCAAACAGAACTAGGAATCTAAATATTAAAGAACTCGTACTTGCTTAACAAGAGTTTGGAAATTAGAGATGATAAATGCTGTTGCACAGCTATGTGTAATTGTTTCTTATGAAACTATTTTTTTGTATGACACTGAGCAATCAGTTGAATAGTACATGTTGTTTTTTGTGATAAAAGTGTAGAAATATTAAACATATCTACAATTATAGCCAAGGAAGGCATAATTGTCTTAATAACAACAAACGTAAAATATTTGTATATATGTGTTAAAGTTATCTTTTCTTTTCACATAAATATATATACAATCATTAAATAGTTGGTCTGCTGTATAATACTGAATAAAGGAATCAAAAAAATGTCATAGCATTATCCACATATCTAAATTAATTTAGGTTACTATATGGTGAAGTAAAACGAACTCAAAACCCCATGCATAAAATGTATTATTTTTTAATTACAATTTTTATAACCATAATCCAATACTTTAAGCTTTGTTGTACAACTGAAGACACTTTTTATAGAACTTGTCGTGTTCTCTCTCCCCATTTTGAAATGCTAACGGCAATTGACATGAAGCAAATCTGTGTAAACGTTGGTTTTTGGTTTTTATATTACAGAAAATATATAAACAATTGTAGTAACTTGTGAGAAAAAAATTATAACTATATGTGCATTAATGATTAATTTATGGCTTTGTATTTGTGTGATGATCTGAGACCTAACAGGGAATCAAACTAAGTACAGAATTTTTGATACTGTAGGGATGAATGGTTAGATGATCATGAAAAAAAATCATAGTCTGTATAAAACAGAAAATTCAGTGTAAGCTTAGATAAAACACAAACTTACTGATTGTATTGTTTGCAATTATGATGACAGCAAATGTTGTGAATATGCTAAATCCATTGCTAAACAATAGTGAACTTGGTTTAAAAGGAGAGAGATAATATATGTGTTTTATCTCCCTTTAAACATTGAAAGAGTTCATTATGTCTCTTTATACTGTAAAGTTATAAATAAAAGTCCATGTAAATAGTTAAAGCATGAGTAGCTAACTACTTTGAAATACTCTAAAATACAAGGGTGTAACTACTTTGCAATACTTCACAATACAAGGGCACAAATACATTTGCTCTAAAGAAACTGTTTGGCTCAAAAACTACATAATGTAACATAATATGTACGGAATGAAACTAAGGGTGAATTAAATAACGTTCTCACTGGGATTGTCACTACCAGAATATAAAAGCCATAATTTTCCTTTTTAGCATACAAACTGTAAAAACTAATGATACTAATAGGTCAACATAACCAACTTGGAGAAATACACTCCAATAGATTAAGCAAACTAAGGTCTACAACACTCTACTTCTGTGACATGCTTATCATACAACTAGAAATGTAAGTGTAAATACAAACTTGTGTACCCTTTCAGCCAAAATATATTTGTGCAAAGAAAAAAATCAGGTCATGAGGGATAATCAGTTGTTTTCTTGTACTATAAATGAATTCTGTTTTTTAACTTAGGTTTTTAAGGAAAAAATTTCATTATTTAATAAATATTTTACACATGTTTAATATATACAAAGGTGTTCAAATTTAAAATCATATATACTAAATTCCTGGTTATGGTTAATTTATTTTACTTCATTAGTTATCAGAAAAATATTTTTTTGTTTTTTTACATTTTTAACCAAAATTAATTTTTTAAATATTGACAAAAAACTGTTCAGAAAATGATAAATGAAAAATAACGTTTGCATAAGAAATAAAAGTTTATTTGCAGTGTTTTAGCAGTTAAAGATATTTAATAATTTTATTGTTATTGCTTTAGGATACTAAAAAAAGACACACAAAAATCAAAACATATATCATAAACATGGTCTCTCTGGTGGGTCAGTGGTAAGTTTACGGAGTTCAATTCTCTGTGGTGGACTGAGTACATATAGTCCATTTTGTAGCTTTGCACTAAAAACAATAATAATAACCATAAATACAAAGTGCAATATAACATTTTCAAGGTTATTTTCATGTTTTATTTTTGTTGCATAGGAGGAAGCTGTTACAAATCTTCGTAAAGCCAGAGCTCTTTATGTTCAGAGACAGCAGGATTATGAAAAAGCCAAAGATTCAGCAGCTAAAGCTGAGATATGTGAGAATAATGAGTCTTCCAACAAAGTTGACAAAAAACGACGTCTTGAAGATGATACTTTACAGAAAGCTAAAGAATCTGAAACAATTTACAAGGCTTGTGTAGCAGAAGCTAATGAGAGACAACAGTTTTTAGAAAAAGTAAAGGTAAGCCATCCAGATTTGTTGGATTAGTTAATTGAAATTCAAGTGTTAAAGTGATAAGATTAGATAAGAAAAGATATTTAATTGAAACTTTGCTTTATGTAATTGTGGTAGGCAGTGATTCCATGCAGTTACTTGAATCTTCATTAAGTCTGTTGTGATGAGCAATTGTAAAGTTATAACAATGTGGCTGTGACTAAAATTATTTTCTTAATTGAGACTGAATAAGGAGTTGATTCTCATCAGGAGCAAAAGACCAGCCCTTAACAGAGAGTTTGGGTAAAAAAAAAAAGAGAGAGACCAGAATCAGTCACTCAGATTATAGTTTCTCCAAATCACCACAAACTCTCTATCGTGGTCATGTATCTATATTATGATTAAGTATACTTTTATAGTGACTTACTGATGTAGATTTAAGCAAGTGTATCAGAATGTTGTCTCCATCCATTAAATATTTCAATATTTATGATGTTCTAACTGCTAATTATGTTTTTCAAATAGTCTTCTTCATATATGTACTTACAGAGTTTGTGTTTACTATGTCATTTATACAGAAATATTTTTCAAGTATCCAAGTGAAGAGTTTAGAAACATAGTATTTAAGACAACTAAATTTAATATACTTGCTTCATTTTTAATCTTTTCGTTTAGATTTTTTGAAGATATAATTTTTCTCTGGCCATGAAATTCTAATCTGCTTGTGTAGCATTGAATCATTTCTTTTTTTAAAAATTGTTAAAAACTTGTATTTTCTATTGCAGATTTTAATTACAGGACTTGTTTTAATAATGTATTTAGCTCAATGTTTTTATGTTTTATTAGTAGCTGAGGGTACCAAAAAGGAAACAAAAATTCTATAAAGGACGTTGCTAGATAATATTCCCTTTCTCCTTTTTCTTTTGTTATTAAATCTCTTATGATCTCATTAGATGCTAATTGCATACTCTGCTTTGTGTAAGGTAATAATTGACATGTTTAACTAATTAAGTACTTGTGTCTTTAAATTGAAAGCCAATAGTTCATAAAATAAAAGAAAAAAAAAAAAAAAAAAAGGGAAAAAATGTACCCTATTTCAAATTCCTTTATGTGTATCCTCACATCTGACTCCTTTTCAGGTGATTTCTGTCATCCACACCACTCTGTGTTAAGTCCTTCTGATTGCCCCTTACTGGCTGACCCAGCCATGGTTTTTGTGGCTGCTCCTGATCCAGTCTGCTCCACTGTTGCCTTTTCTCATAACTCCATTCCTTCTATGGTAATCTTGGTCCAAGGTAGTTCATCCAGCTCTTCTTACACTTCATTTTCACACCTGGTTTTCATCCGGCCCTTGGCAACGAGATCCGGTTTGTCTTGGCAAGTAGCTTCGTTTTTGGCACATTCCATTCGCACTTCCTCTATGGAGGTTTATCAACATAAATGGAATGTTTTCTGCCATTGGTCTTTGGGTCGGGGTTTTCCCCTGTTTGCCCCATTGTTCCTAATATGATAGATTTCCTCACTTGGTTATTTGATCATGGATTATTGGGCTGCCTTCTCCCACACTTTTCGTTTTTCCCAGTACCATAAAGTTTTTCCTCTCATACCTTATTGCTATTGTTGTGTTCCTTCCAGATCAGTAGACCTCCAAGGTGAGTGGTCTTTCTGGATTGGGATGTGAATGTGGTGCTGCGCTGCCTTACTTTACATCTGTTTGAACCTTTGTTATCTTGTTCCATGTTTCATTTATCCCTTTAGGCATATATCCTTATCCTTTTGGCCTGTGGATGTCATTGGTCGGATTTATTTACCATTTATATTTCACAAACTCTATACCATTCCACTTATATTCTCCTTTACCTGGATCGATCTTTTCTTCCTTGACTTTGGCAGTGCAGGAGGGTAATTCCTCCTTCTCACCAATTTCCCTTCATTCCATTTCCCACCTCTATTCCCAATCTAATCCTGATAGACTTTTATGTCCCATTCATGCTCTTCATTTATATGGCCCACATGGCTTCCTTCTGTATTAACCTTTTCTGCCCTTTCATTCCTTGGCAGCTATCCTCTGTTCATGTTATCTTTCCTTCCACTCTTACCTATTGGATACAGCTTTTAATTCAATTGGCTTATTCTCCCTTGTCTTCATCTTCCATTAATTTGTTCCAGGTGTCTTCCCATCAGATTAGGCACCTTACTTTTTCCCTGACTTCTCATCTCCTTCGTTCTTTGAAGTAAATTCTTCAAGCAGGCATGTGGACCACTCTGCATTGTTTCATCTCTCACTATGTATATCATGTTGCTGTTTCTTCTTTGTTGGGTTATAATCTTCCACCTGTTGCCATTCTTCAGACTTCAGTGAGACTGTAACTGTGCAAGTCTTCTTTCTTTTGTTATATATGTATTTTCAGGTGCCTGTCCCATGTTTCAACTAGGATCCCACTCTGTGGTGAGTGGTGCCTCTCTGGGTATACTTCAATCTCTTACAATTATACAAACAAAACTTGCACTGTAAGACCATATTCACTTAACTTTCAAAACTTCCATGGTCAAAAAATGCACATTGTTCATTACCATCACATAAACTATGGATGGGGTGTTCCACAAGATTGCTCATAGGTTATTCACCACAATATATTTGCTTCATAAATATGCTCATTCTGGACTGTACTAACCTATGTACCCCATGGGTAAAGCAGAAGGGGACTGCTGATCATCCCTGCTATTCCTTAGATTGAATAAACCGGATTTGGTCTGCTTTTCAAAATAGGGTTTCGTGGTTACCCATTGCACAGTCTCCAGACTCTCCATCACATTTTCTCCCCCCATTTCTTCCAGTGGAGTACGAGAGACATCCAAATAAGCACTCCATCTCTGCACGGATTTGTCCAAGGGATGTTGTAGCTTTGGAGTGAGCTGTCATAATGATTGGGATCCCACATCCTACCCATACATGAAAGTCAGTTCCCAGTGGTTGAGTTTTGGATTTAGAGCTGAACCAATCAATATATTGTACATACTCATTGTGCGATTGGGGATCCCATATCCTACCCCCCACATGGATGTCAGTTCCCAGTGATTGAGTTTTGGAGTGAGCCATCATAATAATTGGGATCCCTCATCATACTTCCGCATGAAAGTCAGTTCCTGGCAGTTGAGTTTTGGATTTAGAACTGAGCCAATCAACATGGTGTACTCACACAACGTAGTGTGCCAGCATAAATGCAGTTCACCCCTTCGATTGAGATCCCTCATCTTACCCCCCACATGGAAGTTGGTTACCAGTGGTTGAGTTTTGGAATAAGCCATTATAATGATTGGGATCCCTCATCCTACCCTCACATGGAAGTCGGTTCCTGGCAGTTGAGTTTTGGATTTAGAGCTGAGCCAATCAACATGGTTTATTCACACATGTAGTGTGCTGGTATAAATGCAGTTCACCCCTTCAATATATGATATATGACACTGCTCCGGTCGACTAAACTTTCTTACCCCCGCATGTATGTCAGTTCCCAACAGTTGAGTTTTGGATTGTAGTTGACTTGTCGGGTATGGTCCGTCATGCCCTAGCCACTCTATACCTTGGGGCACATCCCTTAATTTTACCCTCATTCCATTCATACAGGAGATTGAAATTATTATATGTTGTGGTTCAGATCACTGTCCAATCTGTGTTCTCTCCCACTGAGATGTGCTCCTCAGCATTTTCTGCCCAGATCTGCCACACTTTTTCCATGTTTGAGTGAAGAGTATACATGATACAGAAGTGGTGCAGTCTCCCACATATAATCCTGTATTTCTGACAGGTACTTACTTCCACCCCCACTTTCCACCATTCCTCCTCACTGTCAACCGGTGCTTAAGTTTCTACTTAAACTCAAAGTGATAGTTGGGTAGAATAGCATGGAGGGAGTCACATGATTCATGTGGGTGTGTGGTGGCTTCTGTTGAAGGAGGTTTGTCGCATGGTATTTTGCATGCAAGAATCAGTAAAAACCATATGAATCAAGGGGTGAGTGGGCGTAAAAGGCTTGTGGTATGCAAAAACCTTTTTCCAAATAGAGGGCAGCACTGAAAGAGAAAACTCTGCATGTGAGAAACGTAAGTACCTGTCAGAAATACATTTTCAGTATAGGAAAATTATAACCAGTTACTGTTTTATCTGATAGCATATTAGATTTTTTTACATGAAAATTGAAATTAAAAAAAAAAGTTAATTTCTGCTTTAATTCATTTAAAATGTTAAGAAAATAATACCTCACTTTTTTGACTTATAATGATAATAAAGCTAAGGAGATCTTTGACCAAACTTCAATGTTTCAGAAAGAAGTATTACAAGAAATTCGAGAGTTGATTTGCCAGTGTGACCAAACAATGAAAGCTGTGACAGTGTCTCACTTTCAGCTACAACACACCATATCAGCACCATGTCCTGTTCAGGTATAACAAAGTTTTTACTGTACATAAAGCTCTCTAGACATTTAACTTTATTAAAAGGGAATGGAGTAAAACTAAAGAAAACATTATTCATTTGAGTAACTGCAGGATATAACATGGGGTACTCCCTTGTGATTTCATTCTTTGTTTTAGTGTCACTAACTACTACATATTTGAGCATCAGATGCAAAAAAATTGGGGAACATTGTAAAGTTTCTTAAATTAGTCATTCAGTCTGTTCAATAGGCTTTAATAGCAGAAGTATTATATAAGTTTAGTTTTAAAATCATGAGTTATGTTTTTAAGAAGAATAAATGTGTGTAATTTATCAGATAAAAGTCTCTTTAAGTATCCATATTGTAGTAGTATCATATAAGTTTACACTAAAATATAAAATATTTATTCTGATTTAAAAGCCTGTTGTCACTTTTTCTTACTAAATAAAGGCTCATGTTTTTCCCAGAGATATACAAACTTTATATCAATATTTCACTTGCATTTTTCAGTACCAGACTCTTTGTGAAAGTAGCAGGCTTTATGAACCAGGACGTCAGTACATGGAATATGTAAAAAGACTTCCTCAACTTTCAGGAAGATCTACTAAGGCACTACCAGCCTTTGTATTTGAACCATATTCACCGGATTCCAAGTAAGTTAAAGCTATGGTGGAACAAGATTTTATAAACATTTCTTTAAAAACTAACAAAATATTTTTATGTTTTAATATAAGATTTGAAATAGTACTTCCACTGTGTTTATTTATTATAGAGGTATGTTAAATTTCAAAGTTACAATCTTTATCATACTAGCTTTTTTTTTTACATTGCGATTAACAAAAGTTAGAAATTTCTCAGAAACAACAGATGGTAAAAAATAAAATTCGAGACATGGAAAGAAAAGAAGTGAATCTTTAAATGCAGAAAGTGGAACGATTTTTTTTTATTACACCATAAACACTATTTTTGACAATTAATTTTTACTTTTCCCAAGGTTGGATATGCAAGGATGGCCTTGAAAGACCAAATGGTTCCTTGTTGTCTTTAGGTTATGTTGTTATGACTTGTAACAATTATTTGAGCATTACTTTCTACCTATTCTAATCTCTGCTTTTCCACATAATTTCTTATGTTTAGCTAATATGTAAATGCTCATAAGCTGGTTAGTTTCATGCATATAACCGTTACCGAGTGTTTGTGTTGTCGCTCCTACTTTCACTAGCTAGTTGTTTTCTGATCTTTCTCTGACAATGTGTGACCTCACCTTCACATTGAACATGTTTTTATTTAAATTGATGTTAATAAAATTCTTATGAATTTGCATTTTCTATTAAAGTATTCCTAATGAATGAAGTGTTATTTCATAATTGTTAATGGAATATAGAATGTTAACACATGCTAATGTAAAGTTGGTTTTGTTAATATGTTAACAAACTTGGGGTTCAGTATTAAATTAACATTATAAAAGCCTTGACCTGTGATGCTTTGTTTTTTGTTGTTTTTTTAGTGGTACGGTATGAGAAAATATAGATGATAGAATGTAAAATTCAATGAAACCTAAATGAAATGTTGATAATTCTTACCAGTATTATGTGAATAGTATGTGTCTTTCATCCAGTGGAATGTAAAGATTAGTCCAAGAGTTTTGTGTTTGATAGTAGGCTGAACCCAACAGGTATTTGAATTGAAAACAGAACCATTACAGTCCATAAAATTAGAAACTCATTAGCTTTTACTAATAGTATCTGTAATAATTTATCTGCAATTACTTTATTTTTTTAAACACAATAACACATAATATTTGTTTAATTGATGTATTAGAGATTACAGTTATGAACTTACACATATTTTAAGTTCACAGGGTTAAATAATTTCCTTTAGATCAGAGAAATCAAGACCTTCAAATGTTTCTTCAGACAGCTATGAGGACTTACTACATCATCATCCAGTTGAACCCAGACATTCCTCTGATAGTAAAGGTATGTATAGTTAAAAATTACACTGTCATTAATCTAAATGGTATGAGCATTCTAGTTTTATTTTATGTAGAAAAATAATAAAACATACAAGTCTGTCATATATTACATATTCATTAATTCTAAATTTAATTTGTGTGTAAAAACCCATCTGTTTTTCTTTCATTACAAGAGGTATTATTTGAATGAGTAAAACTGTACAGCATATAGTACAATAAGCATTAGTACAAAAAGTTATTTACTGTCTAATAGTTTAAATTTCCTGTTTTGATATTATGTTGTATTGATGAATATAGTTTGCATCCAAACTAGGCAACTTTTTTTTAATGCTTAGAAACATAAAAAGAAATGGCTTTTATGTTTCAGGCTCTATATTGTTTCAATATTGTCTTAAATTTTTGTAACTTGAGTGTGATATTACAAGGCAATCATAAATAAGCGTTGAAAGAAAACAACAATTAAATGCCTGCTTTTCTAATGAATCCAGTTATGATGTGTTTAGAAAAATAATAGGCTTTCATAGACCATATAAATTCAGTTTCAGATAGTGGCTCTTTGCCTCAACCTATACGGTTCTGGAGTGGTGTAACACGATTTCTACAAGGGAGTGACACAGATAGCACAAGCAGCTGTCACAGCACGAAGTCACAAGAAAACAGTACACCTCCTAGTCCACTGTTATTGCCTTACAAAATCAGAAGCATGTCATTAGGAGAAGAGTTAGAAATAGTTTCTAGTCATAGTAAGTTTAGATTTGAGTTAATCTTTTTAAAATAGTTTAAGAACTAGAATTTATCTTATTTGTCACTAAACTATTTATATGACTGTCAGTTGGCAGCTATTTTTATTTCTGATTTTAACATCTTCAGGTAATCTTATGTTACATAAAAACTTACAATAGTTTGTTTATCAACTAACATCATAAATAAAATGCTTGGGCTTTGAACCTTTCTACTACAATAAATAAAAGATAAAATTTAACAGAAATTGAATGAAGTTTTAAATAAAATGCATGTTTTAAAACTTCTTTTAATTTTGTGTAAAATAAGAAAATTGCTCTCCAGACAATAAATACACACACACAGAGAACTAATTTATTTTATGTTTAATGAGAAAAATGTTACTTAAAAATAAAAAAATTGTTGTTTTACTTATTTTAAATGTTAAATTTAATGTAACATAATGTCTATAATTTTTTTTCCATCTACCTGAGTTTTTCTTCTTCTTTTTTTAATCAAATATACATGCATGGGAAAAAAATTGATGATAAAACAGGAAATAAAAGAATACTGATTAATTATATTATTTATTTTCAGTTGATAATACATTGCCATGTGGCAAAAGACCTTTTATGTCAAAAGCTGCTGAGACACACAGCTTCAAAAAAATTAGGAGACCCTCAAAATGCAGAGAATGTGATTCTTATGTATATTTTCAAGGGATCGAGTGCTTTCAGGTAACTTGTGAAGCTAAGTTAACAGTTTTAGGGCAAAACAATTATTATATTTTATAAACAAATAACTTCCAATTTTGATAATAGATGCTTAAAGATTAAAAATGCTACTTATTTTCTTCATATTTTCACTATATTTTTGAATTTTTTCTAACTCTTGATGTGAACTACTATATAGAAGAGAGTTTAACAAGAACCCTGTGTCACTATGTTCATTGTATCTGAAATAGTGCGGACTTGCCTGCCACAAGAAATGTTTAGAGAATTTAGCCATACAATGTGGGGGCACAAGAATGCCCTGCAGGATGACCACCTTTGGAATCGACTTGACAACTCATGCAGCAGAAACTGGCAGAAAAATCCCTTCAATAGTTGTTAGATGCATTTGTGAAATTGATCAAAGAGGATCATGCATAAAAGTAAATTATTTGTATTTATCCTAATGTTTGAGAGGTCTGATTTTGTTTAACATGTAGATAAGTTTGAAAGTGAATATATATTAACTGTTTTGAAAGTTAAGTATATGGGAATAGAACTTTAAAATTCTCTAGGTTTAATGTAAAATAGAAGTTAGGTTTCACTTTAGATAACATGTTTTCAAAGCTTGATTTCTCCATCAACAACTTAGACTGATGTAACTGTCATTTAGTAACCTTTTAAAAACTACTATGTGTACAAATTTCTAACAAGAGTCTTATATAACCATTGTTCATTTTATCTACAGACATAATCCTGGTAAAAAAAAAACATTATAACATAGTGAATTAAGAGAAATGACTAAATCCTTGGACAAACACAGAGTAAAAATGACAGATTTAAGCTATATATTAATGAGTTTTCAATCCATGATATAGCCTTAATATCCAATATTCTAGAGATGGGGAAATGTTATGGCTATATGGTACAGTGAATACATAGTTTTTCTGGTAGATTTCAGTTATGGAGTATCAAGAATCACACCTCGAAACTGTCTTAAGATATACATATATTTATTAAAAGACATTTCCAGACTAGGTTATTTTGTATTACAAAAACCTATTTGTAACCAGGAAAGATAGACAGATTCCAGTATTTCAGTACATGTATAATTATAGCAAAGACAACTTTAGAACCATAAAAATACTTGAAAAATAAATATTCAAAATATTTAATATACTTTAACTACAATTAAAGTTTAAAATCTTTTTTAACATTTTAAACTGAACTTTTCATTTGTTTGTTTGTATGAATTTTAACTCGGCTTTAACACTTTCTCACCAATCTGTAGGGTATCTATAGAGTTTCAGGAGTCAAGTCTCGTGTTGAGAATTTATGCCAGTGTTTTGAAAATAGGCCAGACTTGGTTGATCTGTCCAAGATTCACCCATTCGTGATAGCTAATGTCCTCAAAAGATACTTCATGCAGGTAGAAAAGTCTTAGTTAGAAAGTTTAGTATTTAAACATATTTGTAGAAAAAAGCTTTTAAAATATATTTGACTTTAATTGATAGTAATTATGTTTCAAGTAATGTCATAAAAAGATGTGTAATTACTTCACATTCATTCAACTCGTAAAAGTTGTGATGTTAAATATTTTGTATTTAGACTGTATGAAACCTAAACACTTAATGTTATTATTGCACATAAAAAGAATGACAGTGACTCTCAAAACACACTTGTCCATTCTTAATCTTATCCTGTTATTTGAGAAATGTTTTGGATGACATGCATTCTTTTATACACTGACGTTTTAAAAAACAATTTTATGATTTTTTCCCATTTTGTTTTACCTAAACTTATTTTTTTGTATGAATAAAACCTGCAGCTTACTTCTATAACCCAAGTAAATGAACTGCTTTTTTGCATACTTTATTGAGATGTTTTAGTAATTCCTGGTGCATTAACTTTTAGACCTTAATAAGTAATGCATATTGTATACTTTGTTGTAAATAGATGACATGTATGTTTGTAGTTTTCAGGAATTTAAAAGCTATCAATCGAAATTATTCTAATCATAATTTTGTAATGCTTTTTCTTTTGCATTTCATATTCATTAAAAAGTAATATTGCACTGTTTACTTTATTCTGAATGTAATATGAAATATATTTGTCTTACAGTTGCCTGAACCCCTTTTAACCTTTAAACTTTATGAAGACTTCATTGACCTTTCCAAGGTTAGTACTGTATTACGTAATCTGTATTATGTTTCACAACCTGTAGTAAGCTTACAAACACCTTTCTGGGGGTACAAAAGAACCTTTGAAAATTATTAAATAAATCCAACACTTCCTAACTGGATGACAGTTTCATAGTGGTTTTCCAACATATTCCACTAGCCAACACTCAAAAATTTGTTGTTGTTTTTTTTACTCACCCTTGAATTGTTGCTTTTGATTTACCCCTTTTTTACTGGGATATGCAGCATATAAAAGTTGGGAACTGTGCTAGAACATTTAAAATTGTGTGTCATTGTTTTTTCATTATGAATGATATTAAACACAGTACATTTCGATGTACACACATTCAAATTTTAAACAGGGCTAGAGTCATTGTGATCATAAACAGTCAGTCTGTTTTTCACTGTTTAGCTGTTCACTAATTATTGCTATTGATTTTAAAAGGCCTGCTTTGATCCTGTAGAAATATTAACAAAGTTGAATAAATATAAATATTGCTATAGAAATCTGCTCAATTTGTTGACCTGTTAGTTATGTTTTACCCATTGCAAATTCTGTGCAGTGTCTCTAAGATAATGGCTTTTTATGAGCTTTATGTCAAGTATTTCTTCATATCATGTTCTTTTCAACAAATTAAGTATACATGTATTTTCATTAGTGTGAAATATTTGTACATTTTTCGTTTCGTAAACTTATATCAATCTCAAAATCGTTTTTACATTTTTTATATTAATGGAAAGCCAAGAGTGGGAGCTTACTATGTTAAGTGATTGAGCAATTAAGAACTGTTTCAACATGTACATTCTGTAGCAGTTGATGCATACCAGTGTATCAATCAGTGATCCCAAAAGAGTGCATGAAACAACTAAGCAATAGCACACCATCTATGAATGCAGTGCATGCCTTGAAATTCACAACAACGTTTTTATTCTACAATATTTTTAAATATATGAAACATAGATGGTCTTGCATGTAATCAATCTGATAATGTCAACTACCTTTTTGTATCTTAACACATGCATTACTCCAAGCTGCATCATGTTGCCTAAGCAACATGTTGGAAAACTAGTTAAGGCATGTAACTGTAGAATTGAATCATCCACGAAGGACCATTGAAGACAGCATGTCAACTTGTACCTGATTGGCTGCTCACCACTCAGCACACTCAATGTCGATCGAATGTCTTATTTACATACAGAAATTATGTATCTAATAGTGGGGTGCTAGTTCCTTCTTTGATTAACTGAATTTGCATAGGGTCAGTCAAATAAACCAACACTGTATTGGAGAAATAATGTTGACTAAGATTCTCAGGTTACTAAATATATCTTCATGAAATGTGGCAAACTGCTAGTAAACAGTACAAGTCTGATGCACACAAAAATTCAGATGTGCTAATAAAATATTTGAACTACAGATATGTCTGTAAATTGGCAAAATCAGTTTGACTCCAAATGCAAAGTGAAGCCCATGTGAAAAATGGTAATACTTTTTTCTAATGTAAAGTTGGCATATTGCATTTATGCAATAAACTTATAAAAGTGTACATTCATTTATACTTTTAAAACTTAAGAAGCAAAACAAAATTGTCATAGCTAGATTACAGCAGCATTATTGATCTAACCATTATTATTAGCCTTTAAAGTTCAACTAAAGAAATTGTTTGCATATATAGATATAAAAAAAATGTGTTAGGAAAAATATTATAATCTATCATTTAAAACATTGATGCATGCCTTGCTAAAAGAGCCACAGTATGCCATCGCTGCCAAGGAGAACCTTAAAACGTTTCCCATGATGCCCCAATTCACCAATAATTTTCTCAGCTTTTTGCTTGTCATTTTAAAGTTACACTTTTTTCAGTAGATCGGTAAGTTAGCTACCTAACTATATATACAGATGAATGATTTAATTTACTTCTGTTTTTCAGATATATTAGGTAATTGTAGTTTTGGAGATTTGAATTTCTTTAACTCTCATCTCTGTAAAAGAACAAAAGAGTTATTTGGTATTGCATGGAATGGGTTGGTAATTTTGTATTTCTATTCTTAGGATAACCCATATTTGTTTAGAAGAAACAATCATTTGACAATGGAACAGATATATGATTATATGTTGTACTTTACTTGTAGGGTAGTTATTATCTTGAAAAAACAAAAAATGGTGTTATTCGTTAGTATTCATCTTTACACTTGTTTAATCACATGTAATTTTTAGGATTATTCAGCTCAGAAAGAAGTCAGTAATAAAGAAGTCATTGAGAAGCTTAAAAAGTTGGTTAACCAACTTCCATCAGCTCATTATGTTACTCTGGCTTTTTTAATTCATCATTTGAAAAGGTGAGAAAATTGTGTTTGCTGAATTGTTTTCAGATCTGTGATCTCCAATTTTTTCTCTTAATGAAGTATTTGTTTAAAAATATTTAAAAACACGTACTTTTTACATGAATGTAATGATCAGAAACTTTTTTTCCGTATTTGATTAATATTTTTCCCTAAACTATTTAATAAAGAAAATATTTCAGTAGTAATTGCAGTTTTCTAACATTGCCATTTGTAGTGAAAAGGTTAATTGAAAGACTGTTTTAACTCTTCTTCTGAATGTACTTTCTGATAGAAATGATTAATAAAAGTAGCTATTAATTAATGTTGAATATAAGTACTCACTAAAAATTTAATCTCCCAGTGGCACAACAGTATGCCTGCAGACTTATACTGCTAGAAACCGGGTTTCGATACCCCTTAGTGGGAAGAGCACAGATATCTATTTGTGTAGCTTTATGCTTAATAACAAACAACAACAACTAAAAATTGAAAATTTAATGTCTTTCCTAGTGACAGTAATTTGATTTTTTTTTCTTAAAGAACAAAATCTCTTGATCAATCAGACCAGTAGTTCAAATAAGATCCACACAAGATCTAGGAATGTGGAAAAGTTGTAATAAGATATAGGAGTCTGTAGGGCTTGATGTGAGAAGTCTTTTGCTGTGGCTTTTTCTGTGCATATAGTGGTTTTCTATCTCCCCAAAGTTAACACTTTTTCACTGCTCAATTCATGGCTGTCCATACCTCCAGGTGATTCTGTGAACATACCCGGTGTACAGATGTGCTTGTCTTCAGTCATTTTGCATTTTTATTAGCATAAATGGAAATCCTTTTTAGCTTCATTTATGGCTTTCTCTACAACTGGTATCTTATCATGATTATTTCCACATCTGCTGCACTGGTAGCATGTCAAGCATTGTGCTATCTTCACTTGCAAGTGACTTAATGCTTCTGACATCTGTCCTCTGAGATATGTGCAATCTTGACAGAAAATCTGCTGGTTGTACTTACAGTTCCCAATGGTGGCTAACTTTGCAAGAATCTCTATGGATATTGTATTACAATAACATAATGACCTCAGACATTGTTTAGGAAAAAGATTTCCATTTACCAAAAAATAAAATCATTGTATTTTATTCAGTTCTTTTAAGGTTTTTGGGTTGAAAAGCATCATGGAATTCCTTGTATGACAGTGTATATTATATGAAGTTTGCAAAAGAGTGAAGGAAATACCAGATATGAACCTCTCAGAAGTGGAATACCATATGTGGCCTGGTTGACTCAGAGGTTCGTTGTTAAATAGTTAACTTATAATTGGTGATTTTTTTTTACTTAATTTCTGTGCAAGGCTATGTAAAGGCTATTTTCCTTAATTTTGAGCCATTAGGCTAAAGGGAAGGAAGCTAATCCACAGCACCACTAACCAAATGGTGGGTTTTGACCCTCACCCACAGCTCAGAAATACCAAATTTTTTTTTAAGCCAATGGGCCAAAAACCATGAATCTTCTAATTCACAGTCTGGGCACACTAAGTACTAAGGTCTTTAATGAGTTCCAAGGATTTATAGAGTATAAAGACTTACTTTTATGTGTCTCTTAGTGTAATGTATTGGTGGGCTTCATGAAATAGAACTATAGCACGTTTTTTGGTGTATTATATGTACAGAAAAAGTTTGTCATATCTTATAGAGACCTTGTTTCTCTTCACATACTCTCACTGTGTTGTAGATTTTGTTCTCCTTGACCTTCTCAGCTAATAGGACTGTTCGTTGACCTGAACTTAACTCTGCATCTGGTTACTATGTGGATATACTGTTACTGTAGGATAGATGCTGTTGTCACTCTGATATTTGTTTTCATATGATAATTGCAACAAAGGTTTCTGAACTTCACTACAGTTGTGAATGAAATGAAATACTTTTTAACAAATATGTAAAAAGTATAAAGGTATCCACTCATTTATAGTGAAGTATATATTTTTTTGTTCTTCCAGGATATCTGAGAATGTGGATGAAAACAACATGCCACCAAGTAACCTGGGTATTGTATTTGGACCTAATTTACTTAAAACAAGGTATATTATCATAATTTGACTAGAAATTTTTACTTCAGAATGTGTCATATACTGAAATGTTTAAATGTTACTGGTATCTTGATTAAAAAAAAGAAAAAGTGTATATATATATATATATATTCATACATAAAACTGGCCAAATTTGGCTCACTCATTCCAGAAAAGGGATAACTGTGATTTGTACTACAAGTTTGAACTACTTTATTATTTACAAATAGTGAATTACTCTTGTATAATGCAGTTATGGATGAAAGAAATGGTACACAAAGAAGTGTGATAAGTCCTTTTTGGAAGGCTTTAGGAATTTCAGGCAACATCAGTGCTAACACCTACCTTGAGTTAGATCATTGTTCAGTACATATTTTAAAAAATGCATTTGTTGTGTAACTCAACTTAAGTTACTTTTTCAGTTACACAAGATTCTTCTCCTGGTATTCATAGTAACTGTAGGTCTTCATGGGTCTCTAACAATTAGTTGTAACCACAAATTATTAGTAATTTTGTGATATTACTTTAATTTGTATTATGATGGATCTAAAACAGAAAACTGAAGTAATTAAATGCTTAAAAATGCTTATTTTAATATGAAACGCTTTAAGTAGCATGTATATTTAAAAGATCCATTAACATTATATAGTTAAGTGTTTCAAAATGTTTATTTCACTGTGGAAAGGTTTAGATGAAATTTATGTTTTAAAAATACACTATTATTTTGAATGTTTGGTGGATTATTACTTTATCAATTAAGTGTGTAGCACACTTTTATAATTTTATTGAACAAGGAATATATCTCTGATTATTACAGTGAAGGAAATGCTTCATTAAACTCTTTGTTGGATACTGTTTACCAAGCTCGAGCTATAGAATTACTGATTACTTACGTAGATGAGATTTTTGGTCCACCCGAAGTGGCATTTCCAAGCATTCTTCCTGAACTTGAGGAAGTGTTCAGGAAGGAGAAACTTTATGAAGGTAGTTGAACAACTTGAAAATAATTACTGTTAGAATCATAAACATAGTTTTATTTCTGTAGTACTAAATGCTTAACAAACCTAAGTCTGTTCTTGTTTTTCCAGTAATGCTTAATTGAATATTAGCAGTTGCGTATCTTAAATTTTTCACAAATTCACAGTATTTTTTCAGTACAATTTTTAATGTAGTTCAGTCATTCCAATTTTCAACTCCAGCTAAATTATGTCATTATGATCAAAGCCTTTAAGTTCAATTTTTTTTCATGTTATAACACAACCTAATAAATATGTTATTGGAAGTGAAAATAAACAATGACATCATCCATTTAAGTGTTTCTACATCTGCAACTGTATTTAAACCAGAATACTTTTTAATGCTGATTAAAATTTCAGCCAATCAGAATTAAATCATACTGATAACTAGCTCATTTGAAAGTTAGGACAGACATCAGTTTGATTGGAAAGCTGTCAAATAAAAAGGCTTCTAGCCAAGAATATATATCTGACAAAGCATAAGGAAAAAGAGTTCCATATAGGATTGCCACCCTCCAAATAAATAAATTGAAAAGAAATAGACAAAAACAAAATCAGAGATAAGTTTCCTACTTAAATGAGACCCCATAATGTAAAGTGAAGATGAAAAAAAAAATATATATATATATTAACCACAATAGTTACAATTTTTTAATGAAATTGCATCCTGATATGGAACTTTGGCATATAGGGACACAACTCTAACAAAAAATCAGAAACAAGAAGAAAACACTACAAAAGAACAAATATCAGGTACGTTTAATAGCTAACTAATGTCCATAAAGGTGAAAATAACAAGAAGAAAAGCATCAATCACAGCAAAAACGAATTGCATCCCAATAGAATGCTTGCTAAGCATGGGTTTGCAGAAAATTAAAGTCTTAACATCCTGCTGACTGGCTGTGTATTATACTGTCCAATTTACATGAAAGCCAAGCATTTTGAAGTTGTAGTGGTAAAGTGATTGCAGAAATTAAGTCATTCCTATGTTTCAACTCAGATTTTAAGTTTTTTAGTTTGGTATTCTTATTTTATATCAGTTAGGTTTGGCATCTCTGTATATAATTTGTAAAGTGTTTCTTAAAACTGTGATATCACATTTTATGCTCAAATCCAAGGTTTGATTCTCTGTGGTGGACAGAGCACAGATAACCTCTTGTATAGCTTTGTCTCAATATAAACAAACATATTTACCCATATTATATATATATATATATATATATGTGTGTGTATAATATTTTTCTAATGTACTGTGTACTGCTGAAAGTACATGTCAACAGGACAGGTTTGAATTAATTGATTAGGCTTAGTGACCTTGTGGTGACAATATTAATTTAATATAATATTAAGAATTACTTTTGTTTTAAGTTTGAAAACTGGTTGTTGAAAATAGTGACTCTGAACTTTGTGAGAACTTATAATACCTCAGTAATCAACACAGAAGTATTTGTGAGCTATTAACATAGAGTTTTACCTCTCTGGTGCTGTTATAAATTATTAATGTTTTGAGTGTGTGTGTATGTATTAATTAGAGATTTTTTTTTATTAAAACGTTTCCTACTGTACTTTATCTAAATTATAAATTCTTATAATGAAAATCGTAACATTTTTAAGTCCAAAAATGTGGTTTTATTCTCCTCAGAGGTTTAGGATTTGACAGTTTTCACTTTATCAGTCAGCATATAATAGTATAGTAATTTCTGTTGGGGTGATTTTAAACAGATGAAAAGTATGCTTTGCAACGAACAGTATCAGCTACAAGTGAAGTCAGTGATTATGATGAGAGCCAAATGGACAGTTTCAATGACAGTGTAGAAAATGATGGCACAGAACACAGCGAACTTATTGATGAGTCAGTGTTACAAGCTTCTCCAGACCTAGAGCTTCCTGTGGCAAGAAATGAATTATATAATTGTGATTCAGGTATAAATATAAGTAGACACAATTTATTTAAACTTATACAGACTAACAAGTTTTTATATATAGTAAGTAAAGCCTTTTTAGATAGATATTGGTAATAATCTGATAATTTTGAAATATAGTTCTGCATATTTCATATACACATAAAAACTTATCTGTACATTCATAAATTTTGTCTAAATTTGTAAATAGACAAATCACCTTTCAGAGCTGTTACGTATTAGAATTTCAAATGGTCGTAAATTGAATTAACTGATAAATTTAAATTTAGTAGTTAAATTGTACTTTAGATTTAGCAGTTAAGTAAAAGCCGATATATAGTCAGTTTATGATATTTGCCAACAAGATTGATACACACGATTTTCTTTTTTAACACAATTATGTTTTAATATGTACACAACAATACAATTCACAATAACAGTTATTACAAATGGTTAAAACAAACAATGTTTTATAAACAAAAGTTTCTCAAACTTACA